AGGGAGGACTACGGCAGAGCTGTCCGCTGCCAGGGTGCGTGTGGGACGCACGCCCCAGCAGGTGTGCAGAGCCGCTGGCAAAGATTGGGAGGCTCCTCATTGTAAATCTCTCTCTAATCATTAACTGACCAGTAAGCGAATCAAACAGAGGCCTAAGTGGCCACACACAACCAAGGATATAGACAGAACTTGTTCAGAAAAGTTGTTAAACACACAATAACGAAAACAAGCAACAACAAGAACAAACCCTGCGAGAGAGAAAAATCTGATTTCCAGGGTTGCCCCATTATTTTATTATCTAAAATGTTCAGTTTTTAACCAAAAATTATACGACATGCAAAGAAACAGGACATGTGGCCCACACACCAGAAAAAGTTAATAGAAACAGACCCTGAGGAAGCCTGGACACTGGACCTTCTAGACCAGCAGTTCTCAACCTGTGGGTCGCGACCCCTTTGGCGGTCGAACGACCCTTTCACAGGGATCACCTAAGACCATCCTGCATATCAGATATTTACATGACGATTCATAACAGTAGCAACATGACAGTTATGAAGTAGCAACAAAAATAATGGTATGGTTGGGTCACAACATGAGGAACTGCATTTAAAGGGACAGGAGGTTGAGAACCACTGTTCTAGACAAAGACTTCCAATCAGCTCTTTTAGCATGTCCACACAACTAAAGGAAATCATGTCTAAAGAAATAGAGAGCCCTAACCGGTTTGGCTCAGTGGATAAAACGTCTACCTGCAGACTGAAGGGTCCCGGGTTCAACTCTGGTCAAAGATATGTACCTTGGATATGGGCTTAATCCCCAGTAGGGGGCATGAAGGAGGCAGTTGATCGATGTTTCTCTCTCATCGATGTTTCTAACTCTCTATCCCTTTCCCTTCCTCTCTCTAAAATGAATAAAATATACTTTTTAAAAAAGAAATAAAGAAAAGTATGATAATGAAACATTACCAAATAAAAAGCATTAAAGAGGTATAAACTGCAAACAAAACAAAACAAAAAAAAGGTTCAAAAGAGTATGACAAGAGGTAAATTGATCAAAACGCTTACTATAGTGAGGGGGGCAGAGCATTGGTTTCCACGGCTTGTGGGCAGGGGCAAGGGCGCTTTTGGGGTAATGAAACCATCTGTGTCCCGACTGGGGATGACTACAGAAATCTATGAATGTTTTAAAATTCATGGAACTGTGCCTCCAAAATAAGCCAGTTTTACTGTGTGATGATTGAAAAATAAAATTCAAAAACATCACATGCTGATTATAAAAATAATAAAAAGAAAACATTTGTTTCACAAAAGCTAGAAATAAAATGCCAGACAATACCATGTAAGAAAAAAGGAATAGCTTGCCCTGACCGGTTTGGCTCAGTGGATAGAGCGTCGGCCTGCGGACGGAAGGATCTCAGGCTCGATTCTGGTCAAGGGCATGTACCTGGGTTGCGGGCACATCCCCAGTGGGGGGTGTGCAGGAAGCAGCTGATGGATGTTTCTCTCTCATCGATGTTTCTAGCTCTCTAACCCTCTCCCTTCCTCTCTAAGAAATCAATACAATACATTTTTAAAAAAAGAATAGCTTGGAAGAAAGTTAAGGTCCCTAGTCTTGACCCTGGCCGGGCAGCTCACTTCGGTAGAGCACTGTCTGTATATGCCAAGGTTGTGGGTTCAGTCCCCAGCCAGGCACGGAATCAACCAATGAATGCATGTATTAAGTGGAACCACAAATCTGTGTTCCTCTCTCTCTCTTTCTTAAATCAATAAATTCAAAAAAATATGTTTAAAATGTTTCTAGTGTTATTCAGAAGAACAGGTGACTTATTAAATGCAGTTTAAATTTAAGTGTGTATATTTGCTAAGGATAATCAACAAAAAGTGAAATTATAATGGGTAACTTTCACACAAAAAGTGAAATTATAATGGGTAACTTTCACACACGTAAAGATAATTATATATATTTAATTCAACAGGAGCCAAAAATGGAAAACAATAGAAATAAAGAGAAAGCATAATAAATTGGAAGCTTAAAATAAGTTGTTAAAAACAAAATCTCATATCCATATTAACAGATTAAATTTATCTACAGCATTGGAGTCAATTGGATCATATATTAAAAATATGCTGTATAAAAGGCACACCTTAAATATTTGGGGTGGTGAGGCAAAAGGACAATTCAAAACAGAAAGATTGAAAATAAATTAATAAAACAGAATGTACAAGGCATAGCTATCTATACTAATAAAAACCTAGGTGGCCCTCGCGCCCTTGCGCCCTCACGTCATCACAAGATAATGGCCCCCACATCATCATAAGATGGCCCCGGTTTAGTACAAACTCCGAGGGGTGCAGGCTGGGCTGAGGGACACCCCCTCCCATGCACAAATTTTGTGCACCGGGCCTCTAATCCTATATAATGAAAGGCTTATATGCAAATCGACCAAACTTCGAACAACCAGTTGCTATGAAGTGCACTGTCAACCAGGGGGCAGATGCTCAATGCAGGAGCTGCCCCCTGGTGGTCAGTGTGCTCCCACAGGGGTAGCACCACTTAGCCAGAAGCTAGGCTCATGGCTGGTTCATGGAGCGAAAATGGCAAGAGCTTCTCCCACCTCAGCGGCAGCACTGAGGATGTCCAACTGCCAGCTTAGGCCCGCTCCCCATGGACATCAGTCAGACATCCCCTGAGGACTCCTGGACTGTGAGAGGGTGCAGGCTGGGCTGAGAGACACCCCCCCACCAAGTGCATAAATTTCATGCACTGGACCTCTAATCAGACTCAGAGAGAAGGGAGTAGGGAGGTGATACCCCGATTCCTCATGGAATCAGCCATGGGTTAGCTTGCTGCTGGGGCCCTGTTGGCCCCGAATCTGGTTCACCAGCACCCCGGACCCAGAGAGGAGGGAGGAGGGTGGAGGGAGTCCAATTCCTCATGGAATCGGCTGTGGGTTAGCTTGCTGCTGGGGCTCTGTCGGCCCCAAATCTGATTCACCCACACCAGATTCCCTTTCAATGTGCACAGATCTGTGCACTGGGCCACTAGTTGTATTATAAAAACAAAGCTAGCACAGCAATATTAATATCCTGTAAGATATAAGTTAATGTATAAAAATGGACAAAAGAGATAATTTTATACCATATCAATTAGGTCTTTAACAAAGCCAACAAAAATGATTTCAACAAAAAGAGTTTATTTTAACAATGTAAGTAGTTCATTGCCAGGCTAGCCAGACCTGCATAGGGACCATGATGTCAGGAACTCCCGGCTTCCTTCTTTCTCTATGTTATGGCATTCTCATGGCTTCCTCGTGATCCTAAAATGAATGCTTTACCTGCAGTCTCACTCCTGTATCCAGGCAGGAGAAGAAAAGGAACTGTTAAGAAGCAGTGGTGTCTTCATCGGAAGTTACACACGGCCTTTCCTAACCAGCAGTTGTAAATGATCACCCGAGTACATTGCTACTTCAACCCAAACTGGGGTCTTGTTGCTAAGGAATAAGGGAGGCCGTATATGAGGTGAGCTACAGTGCCGAAACAAACTGTAATCCAACGAGATAAAGTCACCATCAACGTATATGTCCCTAACAACACTGCTGAGAAATGTGACATGATTACAGGAGCACATTTACAAAGTCACAGTCACTCTAGGAGTTTTTAAACAGCCTCTTTCAGACCCTGATTGACCAAGCAGGCAAAAAGTGTGTAAGAATAAAGAAGCTTTAAATCAGTGCTAATCAAAATCCGGTCTGTGTACTAGTGTGCCACAAGGTTAGAAACTTACACCAGAGTGTAAATCACTATGCCACTAAGCCCTCAGTTCAATTAGGTTAATAGATTTAAAAAATATATTAGGCTTGCCCTAACCGGTGTGGCTCAGTGGATAGAGCATCAGCCTGCGGACTGAAGGGTCCCAGGTTTGATTCCGGTCAAGGGCATGTACCTTGGTTGTGGGCACATCCCCAGTGGGGGGTGTACAGGAGGCAGCTGATCGACGTTTCTCTCTCATCGATGTTTCTAACTCTCTATTCCTCTCCCTTCCTCCCTGTAAAAAAATCAATAAAATATATTTTTTAAAAATATTAGGCTTTCTTGAAAGAAAGTTTTTAACTGGTTTACATTCTAGTACAAACTCCTTATCTTGTCATAGACTTGATAAATTGTTCACAGACCATCTACTTTTTGACTAGTCTTCTATGTAAAGATTTCTTCTTTGACCAGCTACTTTGAATGATACTGATTGGAATAATACCTCAGCAAGCTTAAACCCAAAACAGATGATAATTATTTGTTCCTAAAAGTTACCATGCGTCTAGGACTCAACTAATCCTGTCCAAAACCTGAGGGCCTGTCAATAGGAGAGTCAGATGTGAACCCAGGCCAATCTAGACGCCATGGCTGTTAAGTGCTCTGCACCGCAGGCCATCCGGTGGGGGAGCTCATGTCCCGGTGTGCGTCTCCTCCTGCACAGAGACCGCAGGGCGACACCCTTCACCTTCTGCCAGTGTGTGCACGGGATCCGAACTGGTGCACTTACAGTTTCTATCACACAGAGAATGGCTGGTATAAGTTGAATCTCACATTTCAGTTTTACCTCATGTTAGCTTCATCACTTTAGGCAGAGTCCATTTACTAAGTTAATTTTCAGAAAGTCCTGGTCCCGCGTGCAGAAGGGGCAGGCGAAGGCGTGGCTGCCTTGCGCCTCCCTGTCATAGGGCCAGTTGAGGAATGTGAAAAGAACAGAGCTTACCATCCCACAAACCTCAGCTGAGCTCATCTTAGACTTTCGTTTTCCTATGAATTGAGGATAGACGTCACTGTGGGAACAATAAAAGGAACACTAGAATCATGGCTATAACTTGCTCTTGACTTTCACCCCAATCTCATTTCCTTTTTCTCATAGTAGGCAGGCCCTGTTAGCAGCTTAAATTGTATCCTTCATGTCCTTATTCTGTGCAATTATATAGTACAGATTAAATATGGGATTAGTGTTTTATTACTATTATTTTGCAAAAAATAATATACTTTTTTAAAGCCTACAGCACCTGGTATCCCCAGGCGGGCTCCCATCCAAGCACTAACCAGGCCCGACCCTGCTTAGCTTCCGAGATCAGAGGAGATCAGGTGCGTTCAGGGTGGTATGGCCGTAGACTATTTTGCAATAATTTTATGTTGCCTTTGTACTTGTGTGACTTGCTTTTTTTCACTTAACAATGTGACTGGGAGTTCTGTCTGTTGGTGTATATAGCTCTCTCTCACCCTGTATGCTGTGATACTGTATCATGTCAGATGTATTCATGTAGACAGTCTCCTATCAAGAGTTATCTAGGTGATTTCTAATTTTTTGCCATGAAACATAACCTTGTCTGTGATTGTATCTAGTCTCCAAAGTTAGCTCTCAATAAAGTCCACCTCCAGGCTTTCCTGTCCTGACGTAATCCACTCCCACACTGAATCTGGGCTGACAGCGACTCACTGTAACCAACAGAAAGCAAGGAGTTGCTGTAACAGTTCCAGGCCTACCTTACGGAAGACTGGCATTTCCGCTTCTGTGGTCTTAGGAGATGGCCATCATGCAAGAAGCCCTTCTGAGGACAGGCCGCACACAGAGCCTTGTTAACGGACACGCCCCACATTCCCTTGGGACAAAGGCCTCCTGGAGGAAGCCCAACCGCCACGCATGTGCATGAAGAAGCTTTTCTACAGCCCAGTGGAAACTACCCGCTAATCCTCATCGACCCTCAGAACCTGAGGGATGATCATGATTGTTTTTCTCTACTAAGAGCCGGCTTTACTATGTGGCCACAGGTACGTGATGGTCAGTAATAAACAGTGCAATTTCCCTCCCCTTCTCTCTGTATAGAGAACTGAATGGCCCCGGTTAGAAGTTGTCCCCATACGCCAAGGTTGCAGGTTCAACCCCAGTCAGTGCACACAATTGATTGACTAGAATCAACCAATGAATGCATAAAAGAGTGGAAAAGCCCTGGCTGGTGTGCTAAGTGGTTAGAGTGTCAGTACGCACAACACACTGAAGGGTCTAGGGATAGATTCCTGGTCAAGGGCATGTACCTGGTTTGTGGTTCGCTTCCTATCATATGTCAGATTGTGTGCAGGAGGCAATCAGTCAATGTGTCTCACATCCATGTTTCTCTCTCTCCCTCCTTCCTCCCCCTCTCTCTGAAAAGCAATGGGAAAAATATCCTCAGGTGAGGACTAAAAACAACAACAACAAAGTGAAACAACAAATCTCTCTCTCTCTCTGTCTCTCTCTCTCTCTCTCTCTCTGCTTCTCCCTCCCCCTCTTCCTCTCTCTCTAAAATCAATAAAGTAAGAAATAGATGTTCCAACAAACTTGCAGAGAGAGAGAGAGAGAGAGAGAGAGAGAGAGAGAGAGAGAGAACTGGATGACTAGGTCATAGGGCGCACACATCAACATCCTGCTGAGTAGCCCTCCCAAATGGCTGCACCCAGTTACCCTGACACACGATGACGGGGAGAACCACTTTCGCTTAAAGTGCTTGCCAGGTCAAAACCGGGATTTCATTTCATTGCATTTCTCTGATTACTAGTCAAATTAAGTATATTTTTCTGTGGTTATCGGCCATTTGTGTTGGCTCCTGTTAGTCCCTGGCTGGAGGAGAGGCCGGAGGCCTGCGTGCTGGGCTGCTCCTGGCCTGGGCCTTCCAGGCTCCCGGCGCCCTTGCCTTGGTGCGCAGCTCCCGCAGCTGGCCGGCAGCTGCAAGCTCTGATCGCCCGGCCCGGGAGAGGCCACTGGCCTGTGCACGCCGCACGTTGCCATGCACTTAGGTGGACATCTCCCATGCCCTCCCAAAGAATCAAAAGCGAAACCCAGGCCCCAGCGGGTTTGGCTCAGCGATTCTGGTCAAGGGCACATGCCCGGGTTGTAGGCTCTATCCCTAGTGGGGGGCGTGCAGGAGGTATCAGATCAATCAATGATTCTCATCATTGGTGTTTTTCTCTCTCATTCTCTCTGAAATTAATAAAAGAATAATAATAATAAAAAAGAGCCGCTGCGTACCACCTGAGCCGCTGCTACCGCCTGAGCGGCCTCACCCGGTGGTGGGAGACTGGACAGCACACTCCTCACCCTGCACCTGGCCTTTGGGCTGTGCTAGCAGTTATGACACTAAGCCTCTGTTCTGACCCCAAAACCCCAGCCACTCACATTTGAGGATACCTAAGCCTCAGAGTGGCCCCTGCATAATCAGGGTGGCCTCCTGCGGGTCTCTGTGGGACCTGTAACGCTGTGTAAGTGTGGGGGAGGCAGGGGTGCAGGGGGTGCAGAACTGCCTGTGCACCCATCACGCCAGCACCAGCTCATCAGGGTTTGTGGGGTAGGAAGAAGAGCCCTCCTGTGGGCTGTGGCTGCCGCGCTGCTGGCCCAAATTTGGAAGATCAAGTCTTTCCTGGCAGCTCAGTGTTGCTCTGCGGAAAGCCCTTCGGGAAACGCCCATGGCTCTGGGATGGCTACACTGCCCAGAGGGAGAGAGCATCCATGTGTGTGGGCGATCCGGAGCAGCTCTGCCCGCCTCCTGGGCACCGGCTGGGGCCTCCTTCTCTCAGAATGAGTGCTGTGATTTTGTCTATTTTAAATACTTTTACGTTGGACAATTTTGTATTATGCATGATAATCTACACTAATAAAAGAGAAACATGCAAATTAACCATCACTCCACCACTTCGCTACACCCACCAGCCAATCAGGAGCGAGCATACAAATTAACCCAACTAAGATGGCGGCTGCCACGGAGCTGGGTTGCCCCTGGTGATGGAGGAAGCCAAGCTTCCTGCCTGCCCTGGCTGGCCCTGGGCTCTGCTCAAGGCTACAAAGTTTCAATTATAGAAGATAAATAAATCCCAGATACCTGCTTCCAGCCAGCCGTGGCCTCCGCTCAAGGAGGCACTGAAAAAAAAAAAGAAAAAAAGAAAAAAAGGAGAGGCTGGGAGCTTGGTGGGCCGGGGGGCGTGGCCAGCCTGAAAACGGCCATCAGCCCCTCACCCAGGCTGGCCAGGCACCCCAGTGGGACCCCCTCCCCCACCCTGAAGGGGCTATGGCCAGCCTGAAAATGGCTCTCAGCCCTTTACCCAGGCTGGCCAGGCATCCCAACAGGATCCCTACCCTGATCTGGGACACTCTTCAGGGAAAACCAGCCAGCCCCCACACATGCACCAGGCCTCTATCTATACTAACAAAAGGCTAATATGTTAATTAGACTGGGAGACCTTCCAGACGTTCTTCTGGACAAAGCCATGGTGGCAGTGCCGAGGTAGAGGCAGTTAGAGACCAAGAGGGGAGGGCAGTTGTGGGTGATCAGGCCAGGATAGGATGGCAGTTTTGGGTGATCATGCTGATGGAGGGCAGGGCTGTTGGGGTAAGCAGACCAGCAGGAGGGCCAGTTGAGGATGTGGTACATGAGGCAGTAGGAGGGGATCAGGCTGGCGGGGAGGCATTTGGGGGCAAATGGGCCAGCGGCGGGCGGGGGGCGGGGCGGCGGCGGGAAATTGGGGGAAGGAATCTGGCAGGCAGAGCGGTTAGGGGCAATCGGGTAGACACACAGGTGAGTGGTTAGGAGCCAGAAGTCCCAGATTGTCAGAGGGATGTCCAACTGCCGGTTTAGGCCTGATCCTTGTAAACCAGCAGTAGGACATCCTTAGAGGGGTCTCAGATTGGAGAGGGTGCAGGCCGGGCTGAGGGACAACCCCCCACGCCCATGGATGAATTTCGTGCACTGGGCCACTACTTTTATAATAAATGGGAAGTAATTTGAAAGGGCTCTCTCCGGTCTGTGTTCATTGATTTCATTGTGTGAGTGTCCTGGGGCTGCCACAGGAAGGCCACCGGGGGTGGTGGAAAACAGCAATTCCTCTGCTTCCGGTGCCATTCCTACTGACCATGTGTTGGCCTGGCCAGCCCAGCCCCTCCCAAGTGCCAGGAAAGGTCTGCCCAGGCCTCTCTCCAGCAGGCTGTTGGTGTGGGCACCATCACTCCAGTCTTCTAGATGTGCTTCCTCTCTACATGCCCCACTTTCCCCTTTCATCAGGGCACAGTCTTATGGATGAGGGACCACCCTGACGACCTCATCTTAGTTTGGTCATCTCAAAAGACTATTCCCAAATAGGCCACATTCACAGGTACTGGGATTAGGACTTCAACACCCCTGGGGCGCCACTGTTCAACCCCTAACTTACATCAAAACCAGAGGGGCAGTTGTAAGGCAGGTCCTGCAGTCTCAGGCTGCCGGAGTGCGCCTGTGGAGCACGCCCATGGCTGGATAGTTTTCTCTGCCTTTCAGAGATTGCGTCACGCAGGAGAGGGGCTGTCCGATAAGCCTGGCCATTGAGGATCCATACAGGTAGAGAGTCTACATTTGCTTTTGAGAAATAAATTATGTTTAAAGGGGATTTGAAAGATACTATAGGGATGAAATATTGTTGAACAAAATACTTATCAACATTAGTATTTTCATCTAATAATCCTACTGTAGTAAACATGGTGATCAAAATACCCCACCCCCCCCCCCAAAGAATCAACTGTTATTTCTAACTGCCTTGTCAGGAAAAAGATTCTTACCACATGCGTGGTGTCGTGGGAAACTTTTGGATTTTTGTCCCTGGTTCCTGGCACAGAGCTCCTAAAACCCGTGAGTGTCTTTTTACTCATAACAAGCTCCTCGGAACCGTAGCTGTGTTTACCTGATGAGGAGACTCTTGAGGGCCCTCGGTAGCTTAGGAATGTGGACTGGTCACCCAAACACCAACCCATGTTTAGAGAGTTCAACATTCAGCTCCCATCCCCAGTGGCCACCCCCCCCCCCCCCCCCCAATGCTGACCTCCGGGGAAGGGGGCGGGGCTGAAGACTGAGCTCAGTCACCAATGGCCATAATTTAGTCACCCCTGCCTCTGCAGTGAGAGTGCCATCAAACCCCTGCATGAAGGAGAACACGTGGAGGTGCTGGGAGGGTGTGCTCCCACAGGGGCATGAAGGTGCCATGCCATGATACCTTGCCCTATGCATCTCTTTTATTTGGTGTTCCTGAGTTGCATCCTTTATAACAAGCCGATAATAGTAAGTAAAGTGCTTTCCTGAGTTCTTTGAGCCATTCTTACAAATGGGAGGATTGTGGAAATTCCCAACTGGCACCTGATGAGAGTGTTGGGGACTGGATGCTTAACCAGTGGATCAGATGCTAACTTTGGGAGTTAGTGTCAGAAGAGAATTAAATTGTGGGAGTCCCAGTTGCTCTTTGGAGAAGACACCACATATTTGCTGTCAGGGGAGGAAAAATCTTCTCAGCCTGAGTAAGGAGAGTAAGACAGAGCCTCCACTGGGCTGAGCCTGCTCCCGAGGCCCACCTGCCAGGTGGGAGCTGTCTTTGTACCAAACAATGAACCACAGAAGAAGACATTATTATCTGCCAGTGTCTCCCTGTTGCTCCCATTTCTTGGCATAACGATTGGAAAGCTAAATTAAAGTTTCTTTGTTATAGTGATTGTGCTCAAGCT